AGTATCGAAAATAATCGAATCGTTGGGTCAGGAAATCGATACTGAATCGAATCGCCATGATGGATGTGATTTACACGCCTAAAAATCAGAATTGAGCATTAAGGCCTGCAATCTGAAGGTATCCTTAGTCACATTTCTAGAGAGATGGTAATCAATGACCCACCCATGTTGCTCCTGAGTCTTTGCCGCCTGTTGTTTGATATGAGGTGTCTATCTGTCCATCTGAATCTTAATAAGGCTGCTTATGTATACCTTTTGAATAAGTTTCAAGGCAAGGTTTTTTATGCTTGGGATCTAAAACCATCATTAGCAAAATACCTTGTGAGGACCAGCAAAATTTCCTCACTTTACAAAAACCTGTCCCCATTGCAATGATGAAATGGGGAAATAACGGTCTTCACTCTGATTCCTTGACAGATATAAACAAAACACATTCCTGTGAAGAGTAAAAAATGTAAATGGCCTTTCCTGTTTCAGGGTAAAGGATTGTATTCTGCGGGTGAATGATGTAGATGTATCCAGGGCCTCCCACTTCAAGGCTGTTGAGGCCCTAAAAGATGCCGGTTCCACTGTACGTCTTTATGTGCGCCGTTGCTGTTCAGTCCCAGAGACCATCCAAGAAATCCAGCTGGTCAAGGGTCCAACAGGTGAGTTCCCACAGCAAATTTGAAAGCATTGATTCAACTCCTAAGGAGTGAAACTCAACACTTTGAAAGTGTCTATAGCCTATTGGCCAAAACTAGCACTGCCAGGGTCATAGAGTCTATCAAGGGTTGATTCTTAGTTTAAATAAAATAAACAAGTATGGAGTTAGCAATGTACTTTCAACACACAACACCGACATTGGAAATCTAACACTGTCCATTTTTCTATTCATTTTCAATAAATACGTTCCACCATGTTTAAGAAGTTCCTTTAAAGAAGTCCCTGCATACCAGTGAAGTCATAAATGTGATACTCACCTGAAAGCCTTCTCAGGCAATTGCTAGGAGCGACACCATACTAACAGTTTTGGGCAAGCTACTTGTCCAGTGTAGTGAGCTAAGCTATCAGTTACTCAACAATAAATTAAGCTTCACTACACCAAAGCTACCACCTAAAGAATTATAGCAAGCTAAGTTACACTAATGTGTTAAAAGTAGCTTAACTACATTAGAAGCTACTTAACGTTGTACCAACCTAATATCAATTCAAAATGAGTCTGACACACTAGTTAAAACATTTATTAAAGATCAGCCAATGACATAACACAGTGTAAACATTGCTTTATGATCAGCA